TGGAGGCAGGAGGCAAGTGGAAGCCACTCCTCGAAGGGAAGACGGACACATATGAGGGCGGAAAGTGGATCGAGATTGATGCTCCTCTAGAATGGATGCCAGTGTTCAAGAGGGAGTAGGCCACCGGCGGCGAACGACGTCCGTTGATACAATCATCAATAAACTCTACATGTTGCTTGCTAATTCTTCAACCAATGCTGATAGTGATCGCTCAAAGCTTCCATGACGCCTTGATAAGGTCAGCCGCCTTTTCTCCGATTCCATACGCAGGCATCTGGGTATGACCGCCATTGAGAACGGGCATAATGCTGCAGTCAGCAACTCGAAGGCCTTTGACACCCATCACTGTGAGTGTCGGATCGACAACCGCATTGCGGTCAGATGCGTTGCCCATGGCACAGGTTCCCGCAGCATGGTAACCTAAGGAACAGACCAACGATCAGCAGGTTGTGGATGAGTGGAATCAGGAAAACTTACAAGTTGTTGCGTTGTCCCGAACATAGGGTATCCAATCCTCGCGAGTGGTGTGCTTGTGATGTACCAAATCGCTGGGCCAAGAACCCTTGACAATATCCTTAGTCCCTGCGCCTTCCATGATAATTTCGTTACCGAAGCGGCACGCCTCAGCCAGAACCTCTACATCCAATGGATCAGAGAGGTAATTCGTGTCCACGACTGGGACAGACTTGGCACCGGTGTCGCGAAGCGTAACTGTACCGCGGGACCGAGGCCCGAAGAGCTCCGCAATCATGCTGAAGGCGTACTTGCCGTCAGTCGGGAACTGGTCATACTGCTTCGGACCTCCGTAGCACTCAGTGGTGAAGAATTCAATGTTTGGCTGCTTGGGCGTAAGGCCCATTGGGTCGCGGCCGGGTTGCCTTGGGGCGTTATTCCAAAGCTCTGAGTCAGCGAGGCGCTCGTCCAGACGGGCGTAGGCGAATGCTCCAAAGGGGAATGTAGACAAGAAGCCTGCTTGTTGGTCCTTCCAGAGGGCGTACGTCTTTGCAAAGTTGTCGCCGTGGTAGACGTGGTGGTCGTTGGTCAGACCAGCTTTTTCGGTTTCGTAGAACATGAAGACAATCTTGAGACAGGCTAGGTTAGCGGTAACCCTCGGTATGCAGGCTATGAGGCACTTACAAGATGGTCCATGAGATTTTTGCCGACACCGGGCAAGTCAACCAGTGTCGGAATTCCAAAACTGTCGAGCTCGGCCTTGGCCCCGACACCAGATCGGTTGAGGATGTTGGGGCTGCAGTACGCGCCGCCACTTACAATGACTTCCTTGCGGGCCTTGATGTCGACGACAGAGCCATCGGCCTTGACCACCCTGACACCTGTTGCCCTGAGCCCGCCATCTACCTCCTCGATGATAACCTTTTCAACATGGGTCTCAACAAGTAGATGAAGGTTATCCTTCTTGTTTTCCTTTGTGACGAAGTCTGCCGCAGTGGTTCGCAAGCCCTTGTGGACTGTTCTGGGTGCATGTCCACATCCATGAGGATTTTCTCCGTGTGAGAACATGTCGTGGTCTAGCGGCAGTCCTTTGGATACCATGGAGTCCATTATGAGGTTTGAAATAGGAGCGAGGTCATGTGGTTCGATGTTGAGGTGGCCATTAGTGCCATGATCTTTGGAGGCTTCGAACCAAGGTTTTCCGTGAAAGTTCTCTGCCTATTATTCACAAGAGATTAGCGACTTGCAAAGAGACACGGAATTGGGAGCTCAAGAGAGAACAGTGTGGCCAAGAGCAGAAAGCCCCCAGGTTACGGCATTATTACTTACCTTTCGAATGTATTTGAAAACCTCGTCACCCGTCCAACCTTCGACTCCCCAGTCATCATAGTCCTGCTTGGCACCGCGAATGCATAGAGTACCGTTGCAACCAGAGCAGCCGCCAAGGAACTTTCCACGGCTTAGTTTAACCTGGCGATTGTTGACTGAAGGTTTCTTCTCGCTGATGACGTTCCAATCGGTATCCTTATCGAACAGTTGTGACCAACTATGGTCAAAGTCAGACAATTAGCTCGCAATCAACTGAACTAGTAGAAATTCCTACCCTCCTGTCATGTGAACATTCTCAAGATTCTCATTGTGTTCACCAGCCTCGATGACTAGAACATTCACACCAGAATTCTCAGCAAGGCGGCTCGCAACGACGCAGCCGGAGGTACCGCCGCTTGAGGACTTGATGTCAGCCGCCAGCTTAGGTATAGAAAGACATGCTTCATGACGATTAACTTACCCGCATACGATGAAGTCGTAAATAATCTCCTGTGGTAAAGATCCCATGTTGATGAAGGCTACGCTGTAAGTCTGAGCTCGTGGGAAAAAGCGTCTGATGGTATGAGAGAAATGGAAGGCAAGTCACAGGATGGTCCATGGAGCTTGGGCTGGTGCTCTTGTATTCGGACACTGACTGACAATTCCGACAACAATTCCGGGGTTTCTTCCTCGACAACCACACACCCCTCACACACGCCTCGAGCTACGTCTGAAGTCTTCGTGCGGGGAACGCACCCAACATCAGTAGTACAGCTTATGGAAGGCAGCGCCGCTGCCAAGTGCCATTCTAAAGCCGAAGAAGGAAACGCGACCGTCCAAAAAGGAGGCATTCTATAGCGGTATGCAGGGTCCGGTATTAGGATCCATGCATCTACATCACTTCGAGTTTCCAAAGGCCCATATTGAGCCTGTCGGTGGCGGAGTTGTATCCGCAGCTCAACATTTGATAAGAAAAAGGAGAGTAAATGATTTTTTTGTGGATATCCATGAGTACACGCATACGCATACGCTCTTACTTGATCCCATGCTAGTGTAGAGTCTTTTTGGTGGCAATGATACCGTTTTCAGGAGGAAGTTCTACTGGGATTCTGGACTTGTGCCAGTTACAGCACTACCGTGTGCTACATAAGGCACCGACGAGTACCGAATGAAGATCACTCTCTTACGTACAATCAATGAGGACCTGGCAGAGCACTTGAGGCTGGACTGGTTGGAAAATTGGAAACAGCATCTTGAAGGTCTTGGGTTCCATGGGAGCCCTGATACCCGGGCCTGATTTGGACCGTTGGAGAGAACTTGGACCCTGCAAACCTGACGATCTTGCTCGGCGTTGGTGCAGTGGTTCATCGCCTCCAAGTGTCTCCACCCCAGCGACACAGTAAGGGTGCGGCACAGCAGCTGGGCGTGCTGCCATCAAAGTTGCATCCGACTCTTCAGCGGTGCAGGGCGCAGCCGGTGAGCCTTCGTCAAAGATCAGCGTCAATGAGCCGACTCTTGATCATCAGGAGGAACGTTTAGCTTTGAAGAGCTCGAACTGTTGGAAAAGAAATTTTGCATCCCCAAATTTGGTTCTGCTGTAATCGGAACTGGGTGGCCGGACGGAAAGCTACTACTAGCTGAGGCTTTGAGTTCTGGGGAGCATGACAAGCGTTGGCTCTAGTTGGAGCTTAGGTTCCCCCGCCAAATCCTGGGGCCCCCGTGGGAAAATCACAGTGGGACAAACCTGAGGACGTCGGGAGATGGGGCCGGACGGGAGAGGCGCTACTCAGGTTTCCATTCCTGACTGCAAGCTCCATTTGGCCGAGAAACGTGTGGATCAAATCACGAAATGCCAATGTTCATCGGCCCGGTTGATAGGGATGCACAAGGAGTTTACGCCGAGAGTAGGCCTGACGACGTTATCAAAGAAAGTGGCCTACCAGACATTCAGGAGCTATCTTATGTTCCAGTATTAAATGGTCGTATCGTCCCATTCTGTTAACTCTCTGCGACGTTAATGCGCGTTTCTAAGACATTGAGGCTACTAAGCACTTAGTGTGAGGGGGATATCCATGGCGCACATGCAAGGTTGATCGGCTTGCAAGCCTACCCCTCTTTCTTGGGGGCTTGCTTGGCAGCGTTCACCTCGTAAGATGATTTGTTTCCGCTGATCCAGAGGAATTGATGTTCCATGTAATTCCGGTTCGAGCTTGCAGTTCCGAGTACCACACTGTCATGGGACTTATGCATGGGCATGTGGACAGGATCCAGTATCATTGGGCCGAAACGGGTGCCAACACTCAAGTAGCCAGACCAGATAGGGAAAAAAAGGGGAGATGTTCAGTGAATGCTTTTCTCTTTCGGGCTATTCCGCAGCGGCAAACCCAGGACAGCTTTCGGACTTGACGCCGAATGAGACTTGAGCCTCATAGAAAGTAAAGAGTAGGCATCAGGATTGGTCAGAAATTAGGATATCAACACGGCTCCTCTGAGCAAATGTCATGAGACTGTCTCTAGAAGGTTGATCATAAAATTATCTCGCGCATTCTCGGCACAGGAAGGCTTGGAATCCAAATTCAACGGTTGCCAAGAAACAGCCTTGTATCCTGGGATCCTCAAGGTACTCTGAGATGCTGCTCTACAACCTAGCGTACCAGTTTCGCTAGGATTCGTTGACCAGGGCTTGTTCGAGAATCGCGAGCTCTTTCAAATTGCCGATCCCCATCATCGCGTTAAGCTGGTTAGGTTGTGTTCAGGAGGCCGTTTGAACTTTCATCGGGACTAGACAAGGACCCAAATCCTCAATCCGACGTTGCAAGAAATTTTTGTGCTCTCTGGTGATACAGATGCCAATCATACGCTAAGATGAGAGGATTCAGGCCTCGCCTACACACAGGGGATATGCCGTACGTAACTGGAGATACGAAATCAAGCCAGGAGACGCGGCTTTTAATCCGAGAAGTCCCGTAAACCAGCATTGGTCTTGGACAGATCCGACAGAGTCAAATTGACCAGGTCCTATTCGTGATTTCAGTCGGCTTGATCAAAAGTCTCTTCACTTGCTCGTCCAGGTTTGCCCTTCTTTCAGTCACTAAAGTATACAGGAATATGGCGACCCCTTTTCAAACAGAGGCATGGACGGAGTATGGGCTTGGTGTCTTGGTTATTCTCCTTCGCATCTTTGCTAGATGGAGAATTGTGGGTTTTAATTGGCAAGGCGACGATTATTTTGCCATATTATGCCTGGTCTTCTGGACTGTAAGTACGCCGCATACCCGAACCTGCTATTGACAGTCCGGACTTCAGGCTGGAGTCTACCTTCTGCGGCTGACTTTTACATACAAGTTGGAGCTTTGCATGTTGGAGCTTATAGGTTGGCATTCCTCAATGCTCCTCGAGCCATCATCGACGTATCTTCCACACTGACACTTGAGCTCTGACAGGCCAGAATGGAACCAACATCGGAATCACAAATGATATCGGCGCAACGTTGACATCGGAGGAGATAGCCAAATTTGAGTTTGGTTCCAAGTGCCTGCTGGCAGGCTGGAACTTTTATGTAACCCTCATTTGGTGTCTCAAAGCTTGCATTTTGTTCTTCTTCAGTCGCATCACGTTCGTGTTTCCCCCCGTCCTCGGAAAGCGAAATTGGTCTCATCTCTGACGACATGATATAGGCTTGCTACAAGACAGCAGAAGATTGTCAAATGGACAGCCGTAGCGACAGGATTAGCCTATGTTGGTGTCATAGCTGTCATTTGGGGGCACTGTACACCTGTTCAAAGGAACTGGCAGGTGGTCCCTTATCCAGGAGGTACGTTATTCCCAAGACAGAGGAGAACTATCAAGTTACTGATAATGAATCAGACGAGTGTACTTTGGCCGTTGCGAACTACTTGAGTCTTGTGGTACTCAATATTTCGTAAGTCTAAAATCGACGATTCGATACCTATGATTGACGAAGCCTTTACAACAGAACAGACTTCCTCATTGTATCAATACCACTACCACTCTTGTGGGCCGTCAAGCTCAGTATCAAACGAAAGCTTGCTATTGGACTCCTGCTCTGCTCGGGCATCTTCGTCATGATCGCCGCTTTGCTTCGCTGCATCCTGTCGCTCAAGGACATTGAAGGTATCAATGTCAGCACCATCTGGGCAATAAGAGAGACTGTATGTGCTTCCCAAAGTTTATGATTGGAAGGAAACATTGGTACAAGTTACAGGACTAACAAGGTTTACATTATTTAGTTTGTTGGAATCATCGCCGTGAACGCAGCCTGCATCAGACCACTGTTTTCCTCCTCACATTGGTTGAGGTCTACTAAGGGCAGCAGTGGAGCCAACCAGAAGTACCCCAGCTCAGGTGACAGATACGGCCATCAGTTAGTCACAATAGGAGGTGGAGGGCAAAGTGTCGATCGATCTGGATTGCCTTCAAAGAGACGGTACAACAAATACAACATGACGGAGCTGGACAACAACTCAAGCGAAGAGCAGATTGTCAAATCGTCCGACTCAGCCAGCTGGCCTCAAAATGGAGGTCGCGACGGCAGTTTAAACAGCAAATCTAGTGGCCAGCACGGGCATGGTGGTATTGTTGTGACAACTACGTATGAGGTGAAGCCCGAAAACAAAGTCTGATGTTTGCACAGACGGTCGTGAGTGTGCTGGACAATGAATGTCAGGATGACAAGGTTAGGGTAGAAAAGCCCGATTCTATGTATCTTTACTAATGTTGCTGAATATTGAGTTCTTGAGAATACATGATCGTGTGAACATGACATTTCGATCCACTGGAAGCAACTTTTCAGTCCATTCGATTACTGTGAGACTATGGTCTATTGCGGATCACTCCCCTACTGATCATGACACAAGCCAGGTAGTCAGGCATACATGTTAAATGATACCAGCATCAGGCTTCCTACCTTGATATATTTTGTTAGTCGTACTACCTTATTTAAGTTTATTCCCTCTGAATGTCATTAATACAATGTAAGGTAGTAGCCCAAAAGGCAAGCCTGCTTCTTGGTTTCTGGACGTTGATCGAGTGTTGCAACCTGAAGTAATTACGTACTGCGATAGGGAGCACGCCTGCCGAGACTTGATCATTCGAAGGCTTCGGCATCCATCCGTCAAGGCTTTTGACAAGATTACCATCGTCTGATTCGAAGTTTTGCTTAACCTTCATTCCACACTTTCGAGAAGACTTCCTACTGTGTTCGTCTGGACCAAGTGATTGAAGTCCAGGATTGCGCCCGGAATCAAGAGGCTTTGCGTAATGGGGGCATTGTTCTTAAAGGAGGAGAGCTGACTCGCGAACTTGGAATTGAGCTTGGAAAATCTACAAACGCCAAACAAGGCAGGTTAAAAGCCCGCAATCTCTCGGGCGGCTCTACTCACCGTCAACCCGTTAGAGCGTCAAGAACCTGCTGGCCAAATGTAAAGTTTCCCGGTAGCCGTCCGTCGCATTTTCTTGTCCAGTCAAGTGTCCTGCGGCTGACTGAGCCCATCGGATCGAACACGCCGAAACAGACCAACGCGAGATCGAATTTGGCCGTTGGAGTATCAGAAGAGACTGCGCGCCTACCGTGCGCCGCGTCGCCGAGGTCAGCTGTAACAGGAAGCAGTCAAAACATTGGATGGCTAGCAACGTTTTCTTATACTTCTGATTCACATTCCCGCCGAATTTCACGGAAAAGCTCTTGTGCTGCACTCCCAGTAATGTCTCTTCTGCACTAGGACTTGCCTTGCGTCGACTTTGCGTTAGCTTAACTCAACCATCCGCTCTTCTTCGAACGACAAGCGCGAATCATTGTTCTGACGCTTCTCTTTGGAAAGCTGAAGATCAATCGTTTTCTAGACTCTATAGCATGCGTCAGCGCAATCGTATGCAACGTGTTCATGGCGATCATGATCCCTTGCCTGAGTTCACTAGCGACACCCTCCGTTCGGTAAAGGCTTCGTGGGACTTCTTCATAGCATGGCTGAAAATCACCTGGTTTGACATATTTGTCATGTCGGCAATAGGTGGCGCTGCTTTGGGAGTAAGTCTTAGATCAACCGGAATTAGGTGACAGGGAATATTGACGCGTTATCGCAGATTTACAATGCGCCTCTAGCCGCGACGCGCAACTTTCCCATCACCTTCAACGGCTCTGGAGACATCGTATACCCTCAGTGGGCATATCCTGATCGCGGCTGGATCGTCGATACCTGGCTGTCTGCATTTCTGTCCGCCGCCATACCAATCGCCGCCATTCTTCTCGCCCAGTTCCGCGTGAGAAACATCTGGGACGTGAACAACGGCATCATCGGCCTGATATTCTCCATCTCGTTCGCCACGCTAATTCAAGTCATCGTCAAACAGCTCATTGGCGGATTCCGACCCTATTTTCTGGCTGTCTGTATGCCCGACGTCACGCGAGCAGCTAGCAATAACGCAACGGGACTCAATGCTGTTGGCTTCCAGCAAATCATGTACTCAGTCGATGTTTGCACGCAACCAGACCGCGACAAACTGAAGAATGCGATGACATCCTTCCCCTCTGGCCATTCAACGGCCGCGTTCGCAGGTTACGTCTACCTATTTCTGTATCTGAACGCTAAACTCAAGGTCTGGGCAGACTACCGCCCGGCTCTTTGGAAGATTGCATTGACTTTTGCGCCACTTCTGGGCGCCCTACTTATCGCGTGTTCTCTCACCATAGATCAGGCTCATAATTGGTATGATATCGTTGCTGGAAGCACAATCGGAACTACTGTAGCGTTTGGGTCCTATCGTGGATGCTATGCTGCTATTTGGGATTGGCGGTTCAACCACATTCCTCTGCAAAGGCGCGATCATTTTATCTACTCCCCGGGAGATGGCATGGAATACAGGAATGATGTGTTCACGAGATCCGGTGGCTGGGGAGCAATACGGGAAAAGGCAGCAGAGAAGAGCCCGCCCAGTAGGAGAAGCAGTGCCTACTACGCTGATCAACAGACTGCGTATCACGGAGCTTCGGACAGGGATGCCTTGCCATCACAGCTACCGAGAACACGCTATAAACAGCGGAGGGGCCAGCCTCGGGGGGACGAAGCGGTTTGATAGATACTGTGTATCGAAGCCGTTCAGGGTAGCGACAAGCAACGAAAATGGCAAGAGTCGCTGTCAGTTGGTGTTGGCCTCTTGGTAGGATAGTGGGAAAGGAAGTTGATCCGATGTGAGAATTGCATGTTCCCACTTCCCGTAAAGAAGACTTGTATTTGAAACCCTTGCTCGATCCGTTTCTGGGCGACTCAAATTATATCCTATCTTGGATTTATTCAATATCAGGGTAACTTCCTTGGGTATCAGGATTTCTAGAAGCGGATGAAGGCCGCTGTAAGTTACCGTCACTATTGACCACAACTCGTATGAGGACTCAGACTTGAAGCCTCAATCATAGATTTAGTCGCATCTACCGTTGGTCTATCAAGATTGTTTGAGCCTCTATGAAGCGAAGCGAGCTGGATTCGCGTCTGTGGAGTCAGGCGCATCATATCCTTGCTAGTCTTTTCCCTAATTGCGGGCTCGCCGCTTATCCCACGCGAGCCGCGGAACTCAAAAGTCGGAATGAAAAGACCATTATGTTGTGCATCGGTCAGCTTCAAGGATAAGGCTCGGGCTTTCATCGCACACATGTGCAAGCTATGCGGTTAGCTTGTATCATTTTGTCTGTTATTGCTTTCTACAATGCGTGACATGACTCTATCGGCACTCGGGTAGAAGTATGTTGGCCAAGTCTCGTTTGAGATAGTCGGCAAGCGCTATTTGTTTGCTGCAGTCATTCTCCTGCCATACTTACATAGTCTTAGTACTACATATCCGTACGGATAGAAAGCCCAAAGTTCGCGCCTCCGGCCATCATAAGACTCAGCAACTTGAATCAATTCCCAACCAGTCTCTTGCTTTGTCGTGCCCCTTTTTTGCACACATGCTGCATAAGCCTCATCTTGCGACCTCCACTGCTGTGCTTACAGTTGTCCTCGTATTGCCCAGCAACAGGCGTGTGCACGTCCCGCTTACAACCCTGCAATGATACCAGTTCGCGATTATCTTGCTATTTACGAGGATGAAGTCCGAAGAAGCCCACAATAACTTGTTATCGGCTGACTCGGAGAAGCAGCAATAAGGGGAAAGATGCATTTACTTGATGCGACAATGAACTCATGCGGTAATCCCCAGTCCACCAAGTTCAGCCGCAATGGAAGATTGAGTTAAAACCTCCGCTTTCCCTGGACCCCCTTGGCGCGCAGTTCCTGTCTCTTCACGGCTTCTTCGTCGCGACCTTGTCACTCGTTTTTTTGTACAATTTTCTCAGCAATTGTATTTAATAGACCTAATAATAATCAAAACAGCTTTACGATGTTGTCCCCGAAAGCCGCCGTCCTCTTTAACTTTGCCCTCCTGGCTTCTGCCGCCCCAGGAAAGCGCCAGTCCACCGGCACAGGATCTTGCACCGATCTGCACATCTTCCTCGCCCGCGGATGGAACGAGGGCTACCCGGGCAGACAGCAGCTCGTTATTGACGCCACCTGCAATGGCCTCTCCAGCTGCGACTATGAAGATATCTTATTCGATGCGTCCAACCCCTCTGGGTACCCTGCCGCTGTTGAGGAGGGTCGTGTTTCTGGAGTCGCCCAAGTCAAGGCATATAGCGAGAAATGCCCTAGCTCCAAAATCGTTCTGAGTGGTTACAGCGAAGGTGCCAATGTTGTTGGAGATATCCTCGCTGATTCTGGGTTGGCTGCCACCGCCACTCCCGGATCCCAGGGTACGTTTCCCATGGCAACTACGCGAGTTGCAGGTTAAGATCTAACACGGCATTTTACAGTCTGCGCCGCCCTCCTCTTCGGCGACCCGACTCACATCGCCAACCAAAGCTACAACGTCGAGGCCGGATCCAGCTTCAGTGGTCAGATGGCCCGCTCGAGCTCTTCCCTGAGCAACCTCAACAACTTCTCCGGCGTCCTGCGCTCCTGGTGCAACGGCGAGGACATTGTCTGCGCCTACGGCGAGGGCCGAACGATGGGCGAGGATGCCCACACCAACTACTTCCAGCTCTACACCAACGACGCAGCCGCCTACATCAAGGAGAAGTGCGTGCCCTCAGGAACGACCCCTCCCACGGCGACCACCACCTCCAGCCTTCCCGCACCCACCTCCACTGGATCCTTCTGCGTCTCTGGCAAGGTCAAGACAGGTCTGTCCGAGAACTACACCGGTCTCTGCGAGTTCTCTTGCTCCAACGGATACTGCCCTGATGAGGTGTGCGAGTGCTCTGCGTACGGCGAGCAGACGACCAGCCCTGGCGGAGACGGTCGTGATGGATGCCCTGCTACTGGCTTGGACGAAAGCTATAAGGGGCTTTGCAGCTTCAGCTGCAGCCATGGATACTGCCCGACTGGTGCTTGTGTTTACTGCTAAGCGACTACGAGGCGCTGTCTGCAGATGCTGTTTTTGTAGAGCATCAGAAATAGACCAGCCCTTGGGGCATCAACTACGCGTAATGTCACTACTTGGGCCCTCAATATGTGATTAGAACCACCGAAGAGCTCTTTGGAAGTAACTCCGATTGCGAGAGGATCAGCTCCTGCAACTCAGCCCACAGCCTGCA